CAGTGGTCGGAAAAAAATCAATGTGCGTGAGATGCGTGTTTCAAGAACTACTTTAAGAAATCGAGCTAAAGATTTGTTGAATGATCCCAAGTACAATGATGAAGTGATATCGATGGCAGAAAAGATGAATGCAAAAAAGATCATAGAAGATCAGACAGAAGAAGAAGGAGAAAAAGAAGTACTGGCAAGAAAACATACACTTAGTTCGGCTTTGGGTTTTTTTTTAGAAAATGACTACAGTAAAAATCAATACGAAGCATTAATATCTGATACAAAAAGCTTAGGATACGATATTTATCCCAGCTATCAAGCACTACTGCAAGAGAAAAAAAAGTGTCATCCGCGAGCTTATCAAGTTGAGAGTGACATTGAGGTTTGTGTACGTTTGCAAGAGCTACTCAATATAACTGCTGAGCGATTATGTGAAGCTGTAGCGCTCGGATGGCCTAATAATACATATCGCAACTTACACATGCGTGTATCGATAGGCTTTGACAGCTCTTCGGGTCATAAAAATCCTCAACAAAAATTTGAAAATGGAGAATTAGAAAACAAAAATGCTCAACTGTCACTATTCGTAACGTGCATCGGAGTAATTCAGCTTTTTGACTCGAAAAATGGCGAGCACAGTTGGATAAATCCAACTCCCATGAGTGTGAGATTTTTTAGACCAGTGAGAATTTGTTATCAACAAGAAACTACTGATAGCGTGAAAGTCGAGTATGATCGGTTGATCAAAGAGATACAATTTCTCACTGCTCATAAATTCATTTTATCAAATGAAAAACAAGTTCGTGTCAAGTTTGAAGTGTACCCTACTTTGTTCGATGGAAAGTGTTTGAATATTATTACTAACAATCCATCTGCGTCAAGATGCCCTTGCTGTCAGCTCACAACATCTACATTTAGTAATTTGAAGAATAAATTTACATCAAAAGGAGATACACTAAATTTCGGATTAGGTATTTTACACTGTCAAATAAAAGCATTTGAGCATTTGATGAATCTGAGTTACCGCAAGCCTTTTCAACAGTGGGAAAGAATCGACAAAGACAAAGGTACGTGTATTTTTTATCATAAATAAGTTTTCAATATTTTGGGGCAGCGTTTCAACTGTTTAACATGACTTAAACTTTATAATTGATGGAAAAAGTCACGAGTCATTTAGCACTCTCCAGATTACATACAGATTAATAGTTTTGTAAAGCAGATTGCTAGCAATGAAATACTATTATTTTACAGATAAATACAAGGACAGAGAAAATGTTGTCAAAGAAAACTTGTACAAAAAGTTAACGATTCGAGCGGATCAATTGCTCCAAGGTACTGGAACGACAAATACTGGAAATTTAGCTAGGATATGCTTTGGAAATCCAGCAGCGTTCGCAGAAGCCTTAGAACTCGACGAAAAATTAGTCGAAAATATAGCAACTGTTCTTGCCGCATTCAAAAGTAAAAAAGTACTCGATTTAGATAAAATGAAAAATTTTACTTTCGATACTTACAAATTATACTATTCGCTGTACCCCTGGGCAAAAATGAATCCAACTACGCACAAGTTATTGATTCATGGATGTCAAATAGCAGAAAATTTTCCTCTTCCAATCGCATATTTTGCTGAAGATGGTTTGGAATCATGGCATAAATACTTCAGATCAAACACAACTCATCATTGTCGTCAAAGTTCTCGTGAAAATCGTACCCAAGATTTATACAATAGAGCAATTGAAATGAGTGATCCTGCAATATCTCTGATGGGCATAAAGAAGAGAATAATCAGAAGAAAGGCCATTCTCAGAAAACATGGAATCCCAGCAAATATTCGAAAGTATATTCAAGAGAAGTGAGTATCAAACATTGAATCAGAGATACAATACTTTTATGGAAACAATAAATGAATGAATAAATATGATTTCCAGTCTTCTCAAGTCATCAATTGAAATTGTAGATTCCGACGAATACTCTGACACTGAAGATGAATAGGGTTATAAGTTCATTACAGGCGCGCAGTCTTATGAGCAACGAGTTTCGAGAATTTGTAACAAATTATTTCATGTAAAAAAATGTAGCTATCTCAAATTGTGTGTGTACTTCAACGTATTAATGACTTTCAAATTATTATTAATGGTTTCTTGAACTTTTGCCACACATCAAGAGCTTCGTAACCCGTACTAGAACTAAAAACTGTGTTAAGTCAATTAAATCACTCACGATAGGTAAGTGGATGATTTGACGAATATTACTTCGTTGACCTTGAAGTAAAAAAAAAAAACAAAAAATGCTATCTGCCTTGTTTTTTCAAGAGCTACACTTCTGTTGCATTGCTTTTTCAAATTTCATGGTGTAAGTATGTTAGAAAAAATAAAAAAGCTTTATTTTCCTAAAAACTCGTGTTTTGACCTTCGATTTGGAGCTCAAAATTTTTTTTTTCTCGAATTGGACTATTTTTCCCTTAATCTACTTAACAAAAGCTTCAAAATGCCGTTCCCCGATTTTCTCTAACCCTTTTAGATCTTGAGTTATTTGATTTCGTTCAAAGTTGGGCGAAAATTCCTATAGTGCGGCCCAGGAGCGCGCGCTATCGATGGACATTACGTGCCCATCATTGGCAGTGTTCAATTACCATTTTCGGTCGCAGGAGCGTCTTATATGATAGATGCCCTTATTTTAAGCGAAGCCGAGTCTGAATGTACTCTAGGAGGAGACTTCATTCGTGCGTTTTCCGCTTGTCTTGATCCCGAGACGAATACCTTACGGGTAAAAGGGTGTGATCAACACGTGTCACTTACCCTCTCGTCTTTGAGCGTTGATAGTCCGCTCGCTCTGTCCGCACTTGGTATTGCAGAGATTACTCCAGAGCAACGAAAAGGGATCGACCGAGTAATTGAGGAGATACTGCCGGAATCAAAGAATGGCCACATCGGATGTACTTCATGGATTTCCCATGACATTGACGTTGGAGATGCCCGGCCGATCAAGCAGAAATATTATCCTGTTTCGCATGTTATCGAAACGGAGATGCATGCACAGGTATATAAGATGCTTGAGGCGAAGATAATTCGGCGTTCGAAAAGCGAATGGTCGAGCCCCATTGTTATGGTTAAAAAACCAGACGGTTCGTATCGCTTTTGCGTAGATTTTAGAAAGGTCAACGCAGTGTCCAAAGTTAGCGCTTACCCGCTTCCTTTCATGGACGTGATTCTGCGAAAACTGCAGCACGCTAAGTATATTAGCGCTCTTGACTGCTCTGGGGCCTTTCACCAGATCCCTCTTACGGAGCGATCCATGCCGATTACAGCATTTACAGTCCCTGGCCTTGGGCTATTCGAGTTTGTGCGAATGCCCTATGGAGTGGCTGGAGGACCAGCTACCTTCCAAATGCTGGCAGATATGCTGATACCGCCTGAGATGGAGCCCTACGCCTTCACATATATATAGATGATTTAATCATAGCCACAGAGACCTATGATGAACATCTGAAATGGCTTTCGTGTATCCTTAATCGGATCAAAAAGGCGGGCCTAACCATCAACTACAAGAAGTCGCGCATCTGTATGACAGAAGTTCGCTACTTAGGTGTTTTAGTCAACAAGGATGGGACTCGTCCTGATCCGGAAAGGGTTCGTCCTATTTTGGACTATCCGCCGCCAAAGAATCTGAAGCAGTTGCGCAGATTCCTCGGCATGGCGTCCTGGTATCGGAAGTTTTTGCCCGATTTTGCGAGCATAGCGGATCCGCTTACCTTATTAACCCGAAAAGACACTAAGTACGAGTGGACGGAAGCGCAGCAAGACGCTTTCGAGCGCATCAAAGGACAGATCGCCACTGCCCCAGTCTTGGCACGGCCCGATTTCGCGGCCCCGTTTATAGTCGAATGTGACGCAAGCGATTCAGGACTGGGCAGCGTTCTCCTACAACACATTGGAGAAGAAGACAGAGTGCTCTGTTTTGCCAGTCGAGCACTCAGCGCTACGGAGAGGAGGCTCTCAGTAACAGAAAAAGAGTGTCTCGCAGTAATTTGGGCGATTGAGAAATTTAGGCCTTATATAGAAGGTTATCATTTTACAGTGATAACCGATCACTATAGTCTGAAATGGCTACGAGATTTGAAGCATCCGAACGGTAAGCTTGGACGCTGGTCGCTGATCTTACAGTCGTACAGTTTCGATATAGTGCATCGCAAGGGAAAGTTCAACGTCGTTCCAGATGCCTTATCACGGATGCACGAAGAAGATGGCACGACTACTGCCACCGACTTGGCATCGCTCTCAGCGCTAACTCCAATCAAAGACCCTTGATATTCGAAATGGGTTCAAAGGGTTCGAGAGAATCCAACCGAACACCCGTATTGGAAGTATAGCGGAGATAAGCTATATATCTACAAGCCGGATCCTCTTGTTGACGATCTGATGGGCGCGGACGAGGACGCATGGAAACTAGTGCTCCCGCGAGAACGCAGAGCTCAAGTGCTTGTAGAAAGCCACGATAGCCTGACAGCAGGACATCTAGGGCGATATAAGACGCTAAAGCGAGCAGCACTGAAATATTACTGGCCTGGCATGAATAGAGACGTAGCACATTACGTCCGTAATTGCCTTGTCTGCCAACAAACCAAAGTGGAGCAAGTCGCTCCTGCAGGTTTAATGGGAAGGCACATAGTCTCTCGGCCATGGGAAATAGTGGCAGGCGACACTATGGGCCCTTTTCCAAGGTCAGCGCAGGGTCACGAACATCTTCTCATTTTTGTTGACCTCTTTACTCGCTGGATAGAGTGCATTCCATTACGCAAAGCTAATGGGAAAGCGATCCGCCGCGAGTTAAAGGAGCGAATCTTTCTGCGATTCGGAGTGCCCGATAAATTTTTATCGGATAACGGTACGCCGTTCAAGAATAAGTTGGTGGATGAGTTCTTGGACTCATTCGGCGTAACGCACAGCACGTGCGCGCCGTATTCTCCTAAGAGCAATCCGACGGAGAGAGTGAATCGCACTATCAAGACCATGATTAGTGCCTTCATTCAAGAAAATCACACCACCTGGGACGCGCACATAGCGGAATTCGCTTTCGCTTACAACACTGCGATACATGAAGCGACGCGCGCTAGTCCAGCTTTCCTTAATTACGGGCGGCACCCTGAACTTCCCGACTCCAAGAAAAAAAGGGAAGATAGAGACCAAGTCCGTAACCTTGAAGCTGCGGCAGTGGAACACTGGCACGCAAGGATGGAGAAATTGGATGATTTCCGCGCCGTCGCTAGGGAAAACACTCGGATTGCGCAAGATCGTCAACAGAAGTATTACAACCTAAAACGAAGAAATGTAGAGTATTGCGTTGGAGATAAAGTCTGGGCTAAGAACCGCCTACTCTCTTCAGCAGCGATGAAAATAGCTGCTAAGCTGAGCCCGAAGTTTGCGGGACCTTTCGTCGTGACCGCTCGTCTAGGCCTGAACTCATACCAATTGAGCACCGAAAAAGGCCACGATGTGGGTAAAGTTGCCGTTTGCGACTTACGACCTTGCCACGACGAGGATCAATGTCCGGACGCGGACCAAGAAGTAGAAGAGGAACCTAAGTCCGAAGAAGAGTTTGACCTCAACGATCTGTTTTCTCCAGTACTCGTCGAGAGCGCGTCTAAACCGAATAGGTCGGAAAACTGCGAGACGAACTCCGAACCGCGGAGAAAGCGTGGCCGACCGAAAGGTAAGAAGAGGCTCGCGTTGCGTGCGAATGCGCCGTCACCGAGACGACTCCGTTCCAACCGAAATTAAGCGACTCAATTGCGCCTTATTTTTGTTTTTTTTTCTTGCTTTGTTTTGCTTATGCTTTTACTCGATCTACTGTCTTTTCAACTTCTGCTTTGCTGCTTTACTCCGTCGCTCTCTAATGCTTGATCTTCTCCTGCTTGCTGGGTCATCTTGATAGCTCCAAGAGATACTACTTTACCTTGGGATTTTTTTTCAGATGGAATCTACGCAGCAGAGCTCCGAGGGAGAGCCCCAGCGAGTCGTCGCTCCGGCTGAAGGCGCTGTCGCTGAAGACGCGGTCGCCGAAGCCGCGGTATGCGTCGAGGTCGTAACCGACGAAGGCGAGAAATCGCTGAGCGCCGAGGCTGCTGTCCCCGGGGAAACGCTTGAAGCGACCGGGGAAGAGGCCCTCGACGTTGGAGCCGAGCCCGCTTCGTCGCCTGAGCTCCTCCGACTAGCCCCTGAGGCCGAAGCTCCCGACGAGCGAGTGAGGACGCCCGAGGAAGAGGCGAGCACTGAGGGAGACTCAGAGGTTGCCGCGGACGTCGCTTCGTCACCAGCCCAGGACGACACCGAGTCCAGCGACGACGCTCCCTTCCCCGTCTATGGGCCAAGGGCCCTTGAAGAGGCCTGGGAAGAACTCTTCCAGCGGGTAAAAGGCGCCCGCGCTGCCCGTATTGCCGCCAATTTGGAAGAGACTGCCGTTTTTACGGAAGCGGCGGACTTCATCCGCGTCGTTGGCCCCGAGGCAAGGCGGGTCGCTGGCGAGTACGCTGCGAAGATCCAGCAGGAGCTGGACTGGAAAGCGTACGTCGCTGACGTCCGTACTGAATGGCTGGCGCAGCGCATGGCCGAGGAGGAGAAGCGAGCGCTCGCTGAGGCCGTCGAGGCCAAGCTGCGGGAGGTGGACGACCTTCGTGCCCAGATGAGGCAGCTGGATCGCTTAGCGGTGGATCCCCGTCGCCACGCGCTCCGTATCTGCCAAGCCGGAAGGCCCTGGGACACGGAGTCTACCCCTGACCAGGCGGGACCGTGCGCAGAAATGGTCGTCGCCCAGGCTCCGGCCAGGCCTGGAGGCCTGACCCAGAGCTTCGCGCGGGGCACCATTAAACGGCCACCCGGCCACGTGGCCCTCAAGAATGCGTTCCGCACGGAACCCTGCGGAAAATGGGACGGACCGCGCGACGACCTCATAGGCGTAAGGTTCTGCCGCATGTGCGGCCTGACTAGCGTCGCTCGCTCGACTGACTGCCCGAACTTTTCGCTCCACCCGCTGTGGTTGTCGGAGCAGCAGGCGCAGTACGCCTATACGGCGAATGAGCTGCGCGCCCATAAGGGCAGCAAGTAAGCGTTACGCTTCGCGTACACGCTAAAAGCGAGTTTCGCTACCACGTTTTGTTCTTTTCTTTCTCTTCTCATACTTGATTGTTACGCGGCGCGCGTAACGCTAAGCGAGGGCTGTGCCCCTAATCAAAAAAAAAAATAATATAATGTATTTAATCGTTTCATCTTTTTTATTACATTTGTAGCGAATAAACGCCTATTTTTGTAAGGGAGAGAATTACTCTAACTACCTTGCCCTTCCTATCCTTTTGTGGTTGCGCTTGTTCTGCCCCGACATGATGGCCCGCGCTCTAAATTTTCCCTAGGAGGTAAATAAACTCATATGCATGCAGAGAGAGAGACTAGGCTTCGATCTGGTACCCACTGGCAACCAGCGTCTGGGGAAGGGGGATATAACGAATCGCTTGTATATTCGTTATGTCTCTCTCTCCCCAAGAAGCCAGTGACTAATATATTTAATAAACATTATAAATTATCATATCGTTTGAATAGTTACAGCATTGCGGACGTCAGCGAACTGGTAAGCGACGCGACTGGCGTACGATAATCGATATCGACTCGCGGCGCGGACCTCGCGGAGAGACGCTTCCTTGCGAGGAGAGAGAGAGAGTTTCGAAAATTGATACAGTTGGCTTTCAATCCGCGACCGGCTAAGACTCCTCGCACGAGTCGCCACAAGTTTTCCGGCTTTTCTTCGCGAAGAACTAGCGTTAGAAGGTAGCAGAGGATATCGCTACAGCGGGGCTGAAGCAGAGGCCTACTACGGACGATCAGCACCGCTCCTATCAGGGGAGAAGCGTCATCGTCAATTCATCGACGACAAGAGCGAATACGCAACAGAAGCGAGTCCGCTACTTAACGCTCTTGGTCAGCGGGTTAGATTAAGCGTGCAAGCGGCGATACTGTAAGTACCAGGTCTAGCGCTTGTCTTCTCTCTCTATACCGCTCTCTCCCTTTTATTACGTTAATTAAGCCGCGCGTTTACGCTCGCCTTTTTCTCTTGTACGCGTTGCGCCGCGGCTACCGTTGATACCGGCATGTTCTCTCTCTCCGCGAGTGTGCTGTCGCTTTTGTATTTTCGTCGTACTTTAACCGAATAAGTGCGGCTTGCCGTTCGTGAACACCCGGCTCCTGCGAGGCGATTTTGCTGCTACTTGCTCCGACGAGGTTAAGCGCTGTCGCCTCCTCGTTCGAACGGTGCGCGCCGGTTCGCTGTCGTCATTGTGCACAGCTCACAACAGAGCGAGTGCTTGCGCGACCATAACCGCACAGCGCGTGCGCAGTTTCGTCCGCTTCACCGTCAAATTATTGCGAGTTCCCTTGCGTTACGATTGACTTTGTTTATATCGACGCGTTTGATATTATGTATTCCTTTGTTGCTAATTAAAATTTACACGCATCCACTTTTAATCGTATTTGAGTACTTATTGTCCGCCGACTCCCCGTTCCTCGAACCGTAATTGTGTATGCGACAGTACCCGCGCGAGTCTCTCTTCTTGGACGTCGCGCATCCTCACTCGAGAAGGAGGCAACTGAGCTGCTGGACCCAGGACGTTCGGTGCAGGAGTGCCGATCTGCTCTGGAGAGCCATTCACCTACTTTTCCGCGGTTACTTTTATATAGCGTGTCCCGCTCGAGCGAAGCTGAGCAGGAACCCCGTTATATTATGTAATTATAATTATTACATAATATTTGTAATACTTGGGACATATTGTTATGCAACATGAATGTTATTCAAGAAATACATTTATTTTTCGCTATTTATATAAGGTTAGCCCGCATGTGGTTCGGTAAGGATAGTTTATAAGGGTGGGGGTTAGATAGGTTAGGGGTAGGTGGATAAAAGGTATGTTATACAGCTGGGATAACTCGCTTATGGTGTAAAATTCAATTATTTCAAGAAATAATAAACAACTAAAGTTGTTTTTACAGGATTAGGTGGGTTAGCCTGCATGTGGTTCGGTAAGGGTGGTTTATGGGGGTTTGGTGGGTTATTGAGGCAGGTTGGTTAGTTGAGGTAGCTTGCTTATGCATAGGATTAAATTATTTCAAGAAATAACAAACGACTAAACTTGTTTATCCCAGGGTTAGGTGGATTAACCTGCTGATAGTTTGACGGGGGTGGTTTCTACGGGGTGAAACGCCCCTTAAATATATATTTTTTTTTAATCCGGAAACACGTCAATTTAATTTTGGTATTTTCTCATTATCAGTGCGGTTTTTAAATCACTGGAGCTGATTTACTATATTACATATCGTAAAACAGTACAAAAAATAGTGTATTTACCCCTATTAAAAAGGTGGTTGCAACCTTTCGATATAAATGTTATGTCCTTAAAAGCGCCTTTTTATAAGAAAATTTTTAACGTTGAGTTTACTGAAAAATATTCATTTAATGCTGAGAAATATTAAAAAAACTGATTTTAGGGGTTGATTTTCAGGGTGGATTTCACCACTTAAAAGCCCTTATGGGCCGATAAAAAAAACACGTATCTAATTTTTTTTCAAGTACTACAACATATCCCAAAATCATTCAAATCGATGAGGTCAGGTTGAGGTGGTTCCCTTGTTAGTCGTATCTGCCAGAATAATATTAGAAAATGCCGAAAATAGGAATGCACAGCAAGACGATGCGAGCCATTCAAGTGAATTAAGGCAGAAGAAAACACGCGCAGGAGCGTAGCGTTTTAAGATACCTTCACCTACCATTACGACACGTGATTACCTTAAAGTACTCCAGCTGGACCTGGACAGAGGCCCACGGGGGCCACCGGCAGGACCTCCCGCCGGACGCTTCCTTTCGGAGAGAGTGGACAGCATTAACCTAATGGGGTTAATGCTGAAATAGATAACCACACGCCGAGTACGTGGTCACCATACCAGACAACAAACCCTTGGTCGACTACAAGGGATGTTAGTCGTATTGTCCGGGGATGGAAACTCAAGTTCTCCAGCGAGGTAACGCGAGTGTGGATACCTTCCTGTCCAGGCTCAACAATTTGAGAAACGGTGCCGGGCTCACGGAGGATGAAATGCTGTTATCAGTATCTGAGCTGCTCGTCGGTCCTACCCTTACCTGGTACGAGATGATGAAGGAAGAGTGGCTCACCTACGCTGAATTTGAAGCAGACACACGGGAATGGTTTGGAACCAGCGTGCAACAGCAACAACGACTGATGAGGGAAGTACAAAGTCGATATCAAGGCCCAGATGAACCGGTTAACGTATACATCACCAACATGATGGGCCTAATGTGAGACGACTAAATCCACCGATGGCATATGCACGCAAACTTGATCTGCTGCACGTAAACCTCCTCATCGATATTCAGAACCAGGTGGGTAGGGCCGAAGTAAATTCCATACGCGTTCTGAATACGTTAGCTACGGCGGCGCAGAACACCTTGAACCAAAGAAAGGTGGAGCGCGTGGTACCTGACCCTTAGTCGACCCTGTACTCGGAGTTAGCATACCACCCTCACACCGATGGAAGCAAGAGCCGCAAGAGTAAGGTAGCAACAATATCCAACGATAAGCTAGAGGTTAGTAATCGATTGGATCGTATGGAGAAGCTGCTGGAAAAGGTAACGCACCAGGTCGTCTTTACTCCGACGCCATCGGGAGCGACGCCTGGTCCGAGTATTGAAGCGGTAGATAGCGAGAAGAAAGCTCCGCAAATTG